ATCTAAATGCCACTTCAGATGCAGCTTCTGTGTTGATTTAATTTGCTTGGTAACAGCCCAAATGACTTATTATTCGAATTCCCTGATTAAATGTAAGAATTTGACTCAAACGATAATGGACACTTTTAGAAAAAATGGCTTTATAAAGGTAAAAATGTCCATAAAATGCAAAAATCAGTTTAAACTTATTGGAAAAGATGAATTTCTATCAGTATGAACTGACCACCACACAGAATATGAAGAATATTAAAAACATTAGGAGTCAGCTGTCTTCGGCAGTCCTTAAGGTACCAGCACAATAACACACTCAGCAAAATATCGTCTAATTATCGTTATCGATAAAATCCCATAAAATATCAAGATATAATTTTTTGTCAATATCGCACACCCCTAGTGTGAACATAACCGTATTAAGGACTCAAAAACAGGACTGACAACCGTATTCTGCTGCTGCGTGAACGTGGCCTAGTACATGTCAATAACCAGGGTTTGAAATTAATTTTATCACTCACCAGTCAATTTGGCTGCTAAAAAATTTATCAGCCATTTAGAACTATTAGCCAAACCAAAAATATCATTACATATCAGTAATAAACCAGATCAAAATCACTGCTTAGATTTACATTTAAATTATTATTAAATCTGATTCTAAATCATTAATAGGTTTTCAGTTTTACTACAGTCAATCACTTTTATTAATTCCATAAAAAATAAAATAGAAATAAAAAATATAATTCTCCCCAATTCTCTTAAAAAACAGCATTTCTTTATTTCCAAATTTAGCTCACATCAAAATCATAATAGTTTACTGATTAACACGTTGAAGATTAGTGGGCTGGCTGCCAATTCATGAAGTGATGAGCTGTTCCTAAGGCTCCATTCACACCCACAACGAGAAGTCTAAGCTTAATATATAACATATATTACGCATAGATTCTATTCAAGCAACAAAAAACAAATGCTTTCTTTTGTTATTGTTGGAGGACATCATTTATGAATCATAACCAGCCAAATTGGCTAGAGAATTGATATGTGTTACCTGTCACGGTGGGTTTTCACCCACATTTGGTGATTTAGCTGGTTTTAATTTCAAATTATGTTTATAATATACCAGTAAACATTCTGTTATTACTGGAACAGTATTTGCCATTGAATTCTATGGGAATTTGCAGTTCACATATCAACTATTCACTTCTAAGTAGTATGCATTTTAAATACCCTTTCTATGTTACTTATTTCAAGCACCTATTCTCCTAGTAATTAGTTAATAGTAATTAAAAATAAGTACCTATTCTGTTTTTACTAGTAATTAGTTCATAGTATTTAAAACTAAGTACTAGTAACATCAGTAAAGATAATGGTTTTTAAGGGATACATGTAATTGGAGCTTGCCATAGAGGATATTGTTTCTGCAAGAAGATGTGGTAATTCGTTTCACAAAAAGGTATTTTTTGCTCTTGTGACAGTTGAGGATAGTCAAGTTCCCGCACGCTCTGATTCATTACAGCTTTCAGTATTTATTTTGCTTCCCTTTTGTGGTATATAATATCAGTACAGCTTTAAAGGGGTTATATGATGCGATTTCAAGTTTTCCTTTCTCTTTGGAGTGTATGTTTCTGTCAGACACAAAGGCATGAGGTGGAGTAGTTTGTTGTAGTAGTAGGTGAGTTGTAGAGAGTTCAGCTATCAGGATTTCTGTGATATGACAAAGCTGAATTAATAGAATAAAGGTCACTCTTTGGGTATGTGTATTTTCAGGCTCATTAAACGTAAAAGGGATGCTTACGTTAGTCGCCTGAGTCAGATTTACCGGAACAACCTTGACAAGGTAGGCTGCAATAAGCTACATTTAAATCAGCAAATTAAATAGGAAGTGAAAAGTAATTTGTAGTAAATACAAAAAAAAAAAAATCTTAGATTTTTTTTAAACCAAAATTCATGGTTTTAAGTGGTCATATCATGAAGAATCTAATTTTCTTGATCTTTACAGTACTAGTACTACATTGTACTATGACAGTTTTACATAGAAATATTAAAAGTATGTCAAAAAAAAAATTCATATTTAATTGTCAGAGACAGGGTGGAAAATTTTGCCCCTGAAGCATATTGCTAACTGAGTATATACTATGTGTATCTCGAGGGAGAAATTAAAGGGATAGTTGACCCAAAAATGAAAATTCTGTCATTAATTACTCACCCTAATGTCGTTCCAAACCCGTAAGACCTTCAAATTTAGATATTTTTGATGAAATCTGAGAGCTTTCTGACCCTGCATAGACAGCAACACAACTGAAACGTTTTATGGCCCAGAAAGGTAGTAAGGACATCGTTAAAATAGTCCATGTGACATCAGTAAACAATACTGTTTTGGTACTATGATGAATAGAGGCAGATACTGACCCGGAAGAGAAGAAATCACTGAATAAAGTCGTTATTTTTGTTTTCTTTGCGCACAAAAAGTATTCTCGTAGCTTCATAATATTGGCTGAACCACTGATGTCACATGGACTATTTTAACGATGTCCTTACTACCTTTCTGGGCCATAAAACGTTTCAGTTGTGTTGCTGTCTATGCAGGGTCAGAAAGCTCTCGGATTTCAACAAAAATATCCTAATTTGTGTTCCAAAGATGAACGAAGGTCTTACGGGTTTGGAACGACAAGAGGGTGAGCAGTTAATGACAGAATTTTCATTTTTGGGTAAACTATCCCTTTAAGTAGCATAATGAAAATGCATGATATGACCTCTTTAAACCTTTAGAATTGGTATTGATGTGCAGATTAAGAAGTTGTTTGTGGTTGTACACAGAGCATAATGAAAATGCATGATATGACCTCTTTAAACCTTTAGAACTGGTATTGATGTGCAGATTAAGAAGTTGTTTGTGGTTGTACACAGGCCAAAATTGAGTCCATTCATGGCTATGCAAGGTTCACAGATGATCCTGAACCTACTGTTGAAGTTAATGGAAAAAAATACACAGCTCCTCATATCTTAATCGCCACTGGTGGCCACCCGTCCACTGTCAGTGAGAATGATGTTCCAGGTGATCTTATGTTTGTTCATTAAAAATGTACCTTATTCTGCTTTACTTATCAATGCATCCTTATTATGTGCACTTGCCATTAATGTGATTTTTTTTGTACTTATTTTCATCACTTGTTTGACAGCATTTTGTTAATTTCAATGTTATTGCAGGAGCCAGTTTAGGCATTATCAGTGATGGATTCTTTGAACTTGATTCTTGCCCTAAGTAAGTGATTGATTGCTGATTTTTACTTATATTATTGTATTTTCTCCTTATCCTAAAATAACCGATCACTGTATCCATCTAGACGTAGTGTGATAGTTGGGGCAGGATATATTGCTGTGGAGATGGCTGGTATCCTTTCCACTCTGGGGTCCAAAACGTCCATCATCATACGACAAAAATGTACCTTATTCTGCTTTACTTATCAATGCATTCTTATTATGTGCACTTGCCATTAATGTGATTTTTTTGTACTTATTTTCATCACTTTTTTGACAGCATTTTGTTAATTTCAATGTTATTGCAGGAGCCAGTTTAGGCATTATCAGTGATGGATTCTTTGAACTTGATTCTTGCCCTAAGTAAGTGATTGATTGCTGATTTTTACTTATATTATTGTATTTTCTCCTTATCCTAAAATAACCGATCACTGTATCCATCTAGACGTAGTGTGATAGTTGGGGCAGGATATATTGCTGTGGAGATGGCTGGTATCCTTTCCACTCTGGGGTCCAAAACGTCCATCATCATACGACAAGGAGGGGTAAGAGCCCCGCTTATTGTCACCTGGCTAAATGCTACTGTCATGCATATCCCAAAGTAAGCAATGACTGTGTTCTTTCTTTTCAAGGTACTGAGGAACTTCGATGCCTTGATAAGCTCAAATTGCACGAAAGAATTGCAAAATCATGGTATTGACTTATGGAAAAATACTCAGGTAACTAGTAGTGAGTATTATTAAGAAAGGTATTATGTAGCTGGTCTATCTTTCCAGTATGATGTATCGGTTTGTTTGGCAGATTTTCAGTTACGATCCCCCCAAAATATATCTTACATCAGTATATCTAAATATTCTGATATTGTTCACAGGTGAGGTCAGTGCAGAAGACTGACAAAGGCCTTTCTGTTACGCTGGTGACAAAAGACCCTGACGACAAAGATGCACAGGAGAAGTACGACACCATCCATGAGGTGGACTGTCTGCTCTGGGCTATTGGCAGGGAACCCAACACCTCTGGCCTCAATCTCAGTTCAATAGTAAAACTGAATTATTTTTATTATAATTATTAGTATTAGAATATTATTAGTAATTAAAATAAATACCTAAGAAGCTTAAAGGTTTGTTACAGGATTATAAATTAAACTCTATCGAAATCATCTGTGGTATGTTAATTCCCAAAGAATGAAAATTCCTCACTTTTTACAAGCTAGAAAAGCTATTTTTACAGTAGTGCACTTACAATTGAAGCTTATGGGGGATGAAACTGCATATATTACATGTAAAACATATATCATGTTATATATACATATAAATATATAATTTTGGACCTCACAATTTTTAATCAAAATGTCATAAAATCGATCTTCCAGTGAATGGTCAGACTTGTGGTGATGTATGCAGAACTTCTCCAATCATTTAGTTAGTTTAAACTCTGTCCATGTCTTGCAATCAAGCTCTCATTCAGTTCTGACTTAATCCAATCAATGACAGACTGATAGAACCAAGTCCCTGCCCTACAATTTTTTCTTTTATCAATAATCCATTTTACTCTGATGTACGTTACAATATGGAAGAATAGATCTGTTGCTAGTTCAGTTAATTTGTAACTTCAGCTATGATATACGTTACAATGAGACTAGTGTGCTAAAATCTTGCCTGTGCAAATTTCTGCGGACAAGAATTATTTTGCTAATACTTAACTAGCAGTTCATGCAGCTAGAACGGTAGAGACATACACAACTTTAAAAATTGAATGAAAAATTGCCCTCTGGAATGCTTTGTCACATAGTGTACGCACCATTTTTGCTTTTTACAAACTGAGGCATCAGTGAAACATGCCACAGATGCTGTTGATAAAGTACAACTGAACACAGAACATTATTTTAAACCACAGAAGCTACACAAGTAGTATAGTATTCTAAGCGTTATCTTTGCACTGTATCAGTTGGTGATAAGACTAACAGTTGGATGTATTGTTATCCAGGGTGTGAAGCTTGATGAAAAGGGGCATATCGTGGTGGATGAGTTCCAGAACACCACTCGTGCAGGTGTCTATGCAGTTGGGGATGTTTGTGGGAGAGCTCTTCTTACACCTGGTATGGTTTCAGGATCACATCCTATGGAGAATTTGTTCCTACATGCATTGAAATCTTCTGGGTGTTTTGTTTTAATACATAAAATAGCTCATTTTTATACACTGTACTCTGTTCCGGCATGGTATTCATTAATAACACTCAGAAACCAATTAAGTAAGAGATGTAAAGTCTTAAAACAATTCAATAAGCTTAAAAGATCATGATGCACGTTGTGCAATTCAGTCTTCCTATGATTCAGTTGGTTTATGTAAATAACACCTTTCACATTGTGTTTAAAACAACAGATCCTCCATACATGAGGAAGTTGATTTTGTGCATTTTTTGTTACTCTAGCGACATCAACTGGTCAGAGTAGATTGGACATGCTTACCATTTATCACACTTTTTAAAATTAAATAGTTTATCATTTGTTTGATGGGAATGTATATTCAGTTTTTTTTCTGATAAGCTGTTGTTGCTTCCTGTTTTTGTTTGTATGGACAGTTGCTATTGCTGCTGGCAGAAAGCTTGCTCACCGGCTGTTTGAGGGCAAAGCAGACTCCAAAATCAATTATAATAATATCCCTACTGTTGTGTTCAGCCACCCACCTATTGGCACAGTGGGACTAACTGAAGGTGAGCTTATGTACAAATAATGCTTCCTTACAGTATCTTGAAGATCAGACTCCATATGTAGCATTATTATTTTAGCATTCTTTTATATACCATTATAACATGTATTAATCTTTTAGTTTTAGTCATTTTTATTGTTTTTTTATTGCTTTCATTTTTTACTATTTTTATATCTATCTTTTAAGTTTTTATTGTTTTCTATATAGATTTTTTTCTGCTTTAGTTTTAGTAATTTATTACTTCAACATCAACATTATTTCAGTTAGTTGCCAAGGAAACATTTCTAATTTTCATTTTAAGTTTTTCTGTTTTGTTTTCTCTGTACTGAACATTTACTACAACAGGGTCCACATCTATCTATCTATCTATCTATCTATCGCTCTAGATCTCTCACACTCTTCCTCATATTTACTTTATATATTGACACATGGAGTTGCAGACAAAAACATTTTAGATAAAAATATTCTAGATACCCTTTTGATGATAAAATAATACTGATACTAAAAATAATAAGTTCTTATGTTAAAGCAATAAGGGTCAGATTTACAAACCCTTGTTTGGCTTTAAAAAACTACTGTAAGGTTTTACTTAAAACAGTTAAGTTGTTTTTGCATCTGACGTTATTGCATATGCATTTGTAGGAGTTTCCCTTTCAGATGCAAAATTTATTGGAAGAGAGTATTTAAAGGGGTCCTATTATGCTCTTTTACAAAGTCTTGATTTTGTTTTGGGTAACTAAAGTTGAAAAAGTGAAAAAGCATAATAGGACCCCTTTAAATGAATCACGGTGATTGACTAAGGTTTGCAATGGTCAGTTTACTCATATTTGTGCCATTATTTAACACCTCAAAAAAACATATCGTAACCCATTTTGAACCTGTGTTGTTAGTGGATTCCACACACCTGATTATCATCAGCTCTGCTTCTTTTCAACTGTGCTAATTTGTGCTGCTCTTGGTAGATTGCATTGGTCATTATGGAAATGATCCTGCTGCATCTGTGTTCTTTTTAATTCCTGTATTGTCAGTAGATCACTAGCAAAATTTTACACTTCCATCAGTGCTTTTATGGGATTGTGGACACTATTTTGCCTTGTTTAGTAAATCTGGCCCCAAGTCTGCATGTAGCATGTCCTAATGTGTGTTCAATATACTGACTGACTGACATCTTAACTGATGGGTTGAACTACCCTTACAAAATATATATATAAAAAAAATATGTTTTGTAGATGAAGCAATCAAGACCTGGGGAAAGGACAATGTGAAGGTTTATACCACTTCTTTCACCCCCATGTATTATGCCATCACCACTCGAAAGAGTCAGTGCATTATGAAATTGGTATGTGCTGGCAAAAATGAGAAGGTGAGGTCATAATCAGTCCATCGATCATAAATAAGTTGAAAATATCAAGAAGGATCTTGAATAATATATAATTTTATTTTAACATTTTGGCATTACATTAAGTCATTATAAGTCACTTTTCTTTTTAGGTGGTTGGTCTCCATATGCAGGGTTTTGGCTGTGATGAGATGCTTCAGGGTTTTGCTGTGGCCATTAACATGGGAGCTACTAAAGAAGACTTTGACAGAACCATTGCCATCCACCCGACGTCCTCAGAAGAGCTAGTAACACTGCGCTAATCAAGTGTTCATATTCCAAGATGAAGCTTTGTTCCAATCTAAACAATAAAAAATACATTTTCTTTGACTATTCTCCCACCATTAGTATTTTGTAATGACAAGAAGCATATATTTGGTTTGTTATATCTCTGGGGTCATGTATTATCGCCAGTGATTAAGAAAGACACTACTACCGTTCATCAGGCTGTGTCTCTTGTACATTGCATTGTTGTACCCCATCGCTCCGATTTTTGACGGGCATTATTTTTTTGATTGGAACAGGGTCAGATGAAGGTGAAATTAAATATGTTCATAGTCAAACTGTTGCTTTACCTTTACATTTTTGGAAGGTTGGATTCAGAGAGTTGCTTTCAGTAGTAGAGGGTAAGTAGGGCTTACTCAATATATGTAAAATAAAATTGTGGATATACAGAGTTCAGCACTTGGGCATAGACCCTGAATACATTTACAAAACAAATGTGTGTCTTTTTGTGGTTAATTGATCTTTTCTTATTTTCTGTATTGACATTGTCAATATACATTTAATAAACCTGTCACGTTTCATAAAAACTTATATTGACATAATTTGTCAATTCTTCTAAAGTTTAAAGTGTGTTGCATGTATAAGAGGCATTAAGGGCTAGGGAAGTTATATAAAGCAACTGTTCAGAATGACATGTGACACTATGATTAAAAACTTCTAGTGTTGGTTGGTATTAGCAAATATTTTCTTAGCATTTACTCAGCTGCTTCCATTTAACATTGTTTTACTACGAAAATAGAGGAATTTCAGTTACACTTATATGCATCTTCCTTCATCTATGGGGTTTTAAATAAAAACAGATTTGAGGTTTTATATGAACATGTTTGGCTGTTGGCTAAGTTTGGTCTCTAAACACCATCTTTTTATGAGATGTGGTGGTGATTCAAAGGCTGTATTAATCAGCTGATATTTTGAAAGGCATTAGCAGATGTCCATTTGGAGTAAATTTCATTTGCAATAAAGTTCTCATTCACATAGGCAACATAGAACGCATTGAAAAGCTCATATATCAACCTAGTTGTGTGCTTGTCATGTTACTTTTAAAAATTGTCTACACTACCCGCCAAAAGTTTCGGATTAGTAAGACTTAATGTTTTTGAATTAAGTCTCATACTCAACATGGCTGCAAATTAAACAAGTAATAACATGAAAGAATTCAGCTTAAAATAACTTTTCTAATATAGATTTTAAAATGTTTTATTAAAAGCATGGATGCAACGCCAGCATCCATTACTCCAGTTTTCCGAGTCACATAATCCTGCAGAAATCGCTCTAATACAGTGGTTTTCAATCCTGGTCCTGGGGACCCACCGCTCTGCATATTTTGTATGGCTCCCTCAACAAACATACCAGAGATCACCAGCTCATTAAATGAGAGCTCCATGAACTCAGCTGAGTGTGTCAGAAAGAACACATACAAAATGTGAAAACCACTGTTCTATTACACTGATTTCAGAAGTCAAAGTTTACATTAAAATATATTTTGTGCAAATCGTAACACATTTAAGAATTCCTCTGAGCCTACACATTGCATATTTCTGATTAAATGCATCAAATGGCTCATTACATAGTACCCACAATACTTGAGGGAATGTTTGCCCAAGAGCTTAAAGACATCAAAACCTGAAAGCATTATGAAAAGATCAAAGGCACATTTGAAAATGGTTGGCATCGAGAATTGGAGACAACAAGGACCAGACAGAAAATGTTTATGAAAAAGATTTTTTTTAATGGTTAAAAGGCTTATGGCCACTGTTGGATCAAATTAAATATACTTAATACAGTTTTATATTAGGAACGGTGTAATACCATTAAAACAGAAATTAAGTTACATTTAAAAACAAAGAAGGTCATGAAGTGAAACAATGAGCTGCTTAATTTCATTACCCCTGAGTTTCATCTCAAACGATAGACAAGCAATAAACCTAAAACAGATCATACAGAAGCCTACATGGTTTTTACCAGGCTTGACTTGCGTAAACATGACTACTTCAACCTAAACAAAGAAAAACGCAACGCGTGTCTGCTGGTACTGGTAATGGCACAGAATAATTCTCATTTAAACCCAATACCAAATAATTCGTTTTGAAAGTCCAGTGTCCAAATAGTATGCGTAAAAAAAGCGAAGTACGGCTTAAAGAGTCACATTAGTGCTTCTAATATCCACCATAGCCACCTCTTCCATATCCACCACCACCACCACCGCCGCCTCCTCCGCGTGGGTAGGGCCCACTGCTCCTGCCGGAATAGTAGCCTGCTTTCATAGCGCCGTAACCTGAAGACTGCTGTCCATAACCCTCGCCGAAGTCGCTGTAGCCATTCCCGTTGCCGTATCCACCGCCCGTCTGGTCGCTATAGCCTCCTCCGTAGCTACTTTGGCTATCGTAGTTGCCAGCATCGTTACCGTAGCCGCCGTTCTGATAGCTGTAGTCGCTATAGTAACCGCCTCTTCCGCCGCCATAACCGCTTCCCCGGCCCATTCCTCGGCCTCCCCTGCCGCCGCGACCGCCGGCAGTTTGCATTTCTTGTTTGGTGAGAGCCTTCTTCACCTCCACCTTGTGTCCGCTGATCATGTGGAACTTCATGACGACGGCTTTATCGGCAGAGTCGTTGTCTTCGAAGTAAACAAAACCGAAACCTCGCTTTTTCCCGGTGTCTTTGTCGGTGATGGCCTGAGCTTTCTCGATGACACCGAACTGGGAGAAATACTCTTGGAGGTGTTCGTCCTCGATGTCGTCTTTCAGTCCCCCGACAAATATTTTCTTGACCTTGGCTAGTGCCTCCGGTCTACCGGCGTCTTCCCGGGCCACCGCTCGCTTCAGATCCACGTTGTTGCCGTCAACGACATGAGGCCTAGCTGCCATGGCGGCGTCCGCTTCCTCAACGCTCGAGTACGTTACAAAGCCGAAGCACCGGGAGCGCTGCAGCGGCTGGTTCATCACCACCACGCAGTCGGTCAGCTGTCCATATTGTTCAAAGTGTGCCCGCAAGCCTTCGTCGGTTGTTTGGACGTTCAGGCCGCCAACAAACAGTTTGCAAAGCTGGTTAGTCATTTTCTTACAATGGACGTACTGATTAAGAACACGCGGAACGGAAGAAAGAAGTCAATGCGTTAGAAACGCGGGGGCGGTTCCATTTGTGCGCGTCAACACATACGTAGTGGACTCTGATTGGATAAAAAGTAAAGCACTTAAATCAAACCCATCCTTAATTAGCAAGACGCATTGTAGCCTGGAACTAGAATCAAAGCTAATTTGTGAATCCATTCGTTTTGGGTTTAAAAGCGTATGTTTGTAGTTAACACGTTAGTTAATGTGTTATATGTAAACTTGACAGCAGGTACATTTCTGCTGCAAATGCCATTCTACTCTGAATCCAGGAAATATCCTGGAAATATCAGGGAATTGAAAAAGTGCCGTTTTTTTTTTTTTTTACATTTCTATTGTAAAAAAAAACACTTTCTTGTTATACTCAGTATTGTAGTGTTTATTTTGCTGCAAATAATCTTTGAGTGCAATTTATATAATATATTTTAAATCTCAGTAAGTGTCCAGTGGTAAATTTCCAAAAACTAAAAAATCAGGCGAAACACACACACACACACACACTATAACTATGAACTTTTAAACCCCCTTACAAAGTTAAATCCTGTCTTAAAACACTGGATTACAGGCATTTTACAAGTTTATGGCCTGTTTACCATATTATGATGGCAATTCATAAGCATCTTGGTGAGCAAAACTACTCTACACAAAGCACAAATGTGTTTTAGTGATTCTAAAAAGTCTAATATATTTTTATTAGAAAAATAGTATATTTTTGTGGAATAGCCTGGAAGCACTATGAACAAACTCAAGTTAACTTTAGGCCTGTTTAGGCCTCAACTAGGTATTTATGTCTTACACTGATCACTTTTTGGCACAATTAAAAATGATATATGTGATGTTTTGATGTGTAGTAAAGTAGGTCACCTAGGCTGAGGGACAGTGCAACTTTATCATTCACTCAGTGTTTATAGGTTTATGCGTTTGTACCATAGACTGTATAAAAACAGTTTGTACACCGGTTACATGAAGATATATTCCTTAATCCAATTAAAGTGTTTTGTGGAAAGTTAAAGGATGCCACCATTTTAAAACAAGCTAGCCAATTAATAAGGTGACTGGTGGTAGTAGTGAGAGTATTGGGGATTACTGAGGAGTTTCCTAGGTGAGAGAAAGAGCAGGACACCTGCAGTAATATATTTATATATACATATATTTATATTTAGAAAACACAGGTTAAAAAGAGACACTAAAAATTCCATGTCTTCATTTCATCAGTCCATTATTAAAATCATAACTACTCTGTGGATTGTGTAGATAACCAAACTCCATGGCCACAGTTGATGTGGGCAGAGTCCGGCATCCAAGGTCACCTAGGGAGGAAGACAGGAAGGTATTGGGGATTACTGAGGAGTTTCCTAGGTGAGAGAAAGAGCAGGACACCTGCAGTAAGATTGTTGGTTAAAGATTATTTAAAAGTGTAAGTTTCAAGCTACATGGTCAGATGTTTGGCTTTGTTGCGGTCACCAATATGGTCTGATTTTTGTATATGCAAGATAAAACAAATTTGATCAAGAAAAAAAACATCCTTAAAAATGGCATATCAAGGCCCTAATAAGCCGCGGTGTTACAAACCCAAATTCCATCGCACCAGTTCATGTAAAGTCCACTTGACTTATGGATGGAGACTAATTAAAAACAACTTAAGGAATAAATATAATCCATTTATGAAAAAAATTGCAATACTTGACCAACACGTAGTGAAGACAGGTTGATTACATACCTAGATCGCAGGATGATATCCTAATGAGATATTTCAGTCTTAGAAAAAAAAGCTTTCTTCACAGTAAGAGCAGTAAAATAATCATACAGGAAATACAGTATGTTAGTCTTAAATTAATTCAAACTACTTTTCAAGCTTAAGTATATATGGTATATATAAAGTGAAGAGATCAGACATAAGATCACATACCAGCTAACACACAAGATTGGCACTGCTATTGCTTGTTCCATGCACATAATCCACACACACACGAAAGAATCATTTCAACAAATTTTTTTATTAAAAATGTATACAGTTAATATAAATATAATCCATTTATGAAAAAAATTGCAATACTTGACCAACACGTAGTGAAGACAGGTTGATTACATACCTAGATCGCAGGATGATATCCTAATGAGATATTTCAGTCCTATCACAATCGAACCCAGGTACTGAACAGGTTCCCTGTACAAACAAACTGCTACAGCTATTTTGAAGTACTGGAATAACTGAAAGAACACCTATATTTGGGAATCAAGAGTAAATAAACCATAAACACTATATAAATATATATACTTATATAGCACTGAATGTGGGGCAGTGTTAGGTTTATGTCAAGTAGTAATGCAACTACATATATATATATATATATGCTTAAATGACTATCTCAGGTGTGGTGGAAAGCCCTTAGTTAAAGTCTTATCAGCCAAAACGCCGTCTGAAAGGATAATTAAGCTGTGAAACTTTTATTTAAAAGTAACATACAATTGCATATCAATGTTTAACAATACTGGATTTATCTGAAGACATAATATACAATACACAAGAGAATGTTGGAAGTAAATGATGCTCATACAGCGTTGAACTGAACTCCATTAATGGGTTTCTGCGCTGGTTTACAAAATAAAAGAAATAACGTAGCCTAATCTATCCCATCATGATAAACTAGTTTGGAAAAACTCGTGGTGGGTTTTATACAGACGAACACAAGCTCAAAACTGCATGCGTTAATCCCCCTCTCCCCCATGACAATAGGCAACAGTTTATATAGAAAACAGGTCTAAGTTACTGAGAATGCATTTTGACAACAAATCGCCAGTGTTGAACAAAACTGAATTTTAAAACGAATGAGTTACGAACAAATCGCATCATAAAAAAGAAAACAGCCAGGGCCAACTTTGCTGCATGCCCTAAAACGTGGAAAATAAAATGATATATAATATACTAGAACGTGTCCTACAACTAAAGCTGGTCGAGCAAGTCAGGTTTCTGGGAAGAGATCTTCTTCCTACCTGTGAAGAATTGAGGTCTTTAAAGGTATGCTTTCACAGTGTCCGCCATCTCTTGCATGGCCGGGTGAATGAGCCCAATGTGGAAACCGAGAGAACTTAGGAGGGGAGGAGGAGGAGGGGGGCAGCTTTCCGAGTCTTTTTCCAACTCGCTTTAGTAGCCTCTCCGCCATAGCCACCCCCGTAGCCGCCGTAGCTTCCTCTCCCGCCGCCGAAGCCATTTTGATTCCTCCCCATACCTCTAACTCCTCCTCTCCCCCTGCCGCCCCGAGCTCCGCCGGAGGCCTGGATCTCTTGTTTCGTGAGCGCTTTCTTGACCTCCACTTTGTGTCCGTTGATCATGTGGAACTTGAGCACGACGGCTTTGTCGGCCGAGTCGTTATCTTCGAAGTGGACAAAGCCGAACCCACGCTTCTTGCCGGTGTCTTTGTCGGTGATGACTTCGGATTTCTCGATCATGCCGAACTGCGAGAAATACTCGGTGAGGGTGTTCTCCTCGATGTCCTCTTTTAAGCCCCCGACGAATATCTTCTTGACTTTGGCGAGAGCTTCGGGCTTCCCGGCGTCTTCGCGAGCCACGGCTCTCTTCAGCTCCACGGTTTTACCGTCTACCACATGTGGCCTGGCGGCCATTGCTGCATCAGCCTCCTCTGCGGTGGAGTACGTTACGAAGCCGAAACAACGAGACCGCTGAAGTTGATCGTTTTGGACCACCACGCAGTCCGTTAGTGAACCGTAGTGTTCAAAATGAGCGCGGAGCCCATCGTTAGTTGTTTGGACGTTCAGGCCACCAACGAAAAGTTTGCAAAGCTGCTCCATTGCTGACATATCGTTCCACTAGACCGCCGTAACGACTCTACTGTGAAAGAAAGGGCTTTTTTTTAAAATGACTGTCGTCATGACGCAGTGTTCTCTCCTGCAGTAAGACACGCCCCTTCGCTGGAAAAGGCGGGCTTTGTGGAATTGTCAAAAAACAAAATAAAAATCACATGTATCACTGAATTTTAAATAGCATTTTTAAAAACCACAGTTTCTAACATATAAAATGTCAAATAAAAAACTACCAATTTGTATAAATGTGAATGTCAAATTAAAATATAATTTGAATTTGAATTTGAAAATAAACTTAATTTTAAAATTAATTCTCAAATATGCATCTTGTTTTCTACAATGCAGTATGTAAAATTAGTTGAATCATTTGTAATTTATGTTATAGCACAGAATGTGAAAGTCACTTCAAATAATGCTAACGTTTTTTTATCATAGGTCTAAAACTGACATTCAAACCCATAGGCTATGAATTTTTGGAAGGATCCCATCTAGAAACTGCTTATTCTCTGCAGGGTTTTAGAACTAGAACCTAAACAGCTGAATTTGCTCCACATTCAACATTCACATCTGAGAAAACGAATACAGATATCTGGAACTAACAGTTAGATACAATAAAAAATATGAAAAAGATAGCATGTAAAAGACAGAGAGATTTGCTATGAATTCACATTTGGCAGTTTCTAGGGCACTTGTGTCACTCTTCGTAGCATTTTGGTGGACTGAATAATTTCTAACACTGTTATCATCCTCATCATAAATAGTTAATGATGGCAGCTTTATTTGTTTAAAAATTATATATGGTTCTATTGATTACAGTGGTAACATGAAATAGTTAAACAAACCCTATTTTAATGTATTTTGATTATTTATATTCACTCATGTAGGCTATTGGCCTATATGTACACACACACACACACACACACACACACACACACACATATAGCCTATATTTTTTTCTAGACAATGTGAGGCCGGTGGAAAAGTGTGACATCACAGCAAAACTTGCTTGCTAACTAAAGCTGAATTTTATTTGAAAATTGGCTGAGTTTCATTGAGAGGACAGATGCATGACTTATCCACTCCGCATTAGCAATAAAGATCTGCATAACAGATTAAATGTCTGGAGCCAGCACTTAACAGATATTTGGTGACACTTAATGGTGATGGGTGGAGATTGTGTCTTTGTATGAGAGTGTTCTCACCTTTTAATATGCAAAACACATCCATCGTCTAAGTGTGAGATGAGGTTTCAAGCTGTTATGGCTGCATATTTTGAATTGACCTAAAGACTTTAGATATGCAAAATGGCTAACTGTATACATAAGGACACTATTGCATACTAAGGTAGAAATGCATTACTTTTGGCCATATCCAAATGGCACAAGAAGTATGAGGATGTGATTCATGGGTTCTGTTTACACCTGGTATTTAACATTTACAAATCAGGTCACCCAAGAGAGATGTTACCAGGTGTAAATAGGGCCATGTTGTCTGCCAACTATTTAGAAACTGAAAGCCAAGAAATTTGGAACCGTTGACAACGTCCCCAGGAACCCTATGAATGTTGAGTGATGTGTAACTCCTTCCACCCTCACACTTCCTGAAGTCAAAAACAAACTCAGTGCACTAATGTCATTCCAAATACTTCATTCCTATATTCTGTTTCATAACCATTGTTTATTACAATGTCATTCATACCAAGGGCAGGACTTTAAACAGACCCTCACAAATAATTAAATGCAATTTTGCAAAACAACTAAAATATTATGAATGAAACTAATACTTTTATTCAGCCAGAACACATTAAATTGATCAGTAACAGTACTGTTACTCAGTAACAGTAAAACATTTAGCTATAATGTTACAAAATATTTTTTCCTAATAAATACTGTCCTTTTGAATTCATCAAATAATCCAGAAAAAAAGAGCATAAGGGGTTCCATAAAAAATATTAAACAGCACTGCTGAGACTTCTTTTGAAAACATAACATCCAATCATTATTAAAAACCACCATAACAGTTTTGTGTATTATACTAGATGTGTTTGCTTAAGAAAGGCATTCTCAGTTAAATGTTCAGTTGCAACTCATGTTCCTTACTCAGTTACGTTTTCAAGACAAAAATACTAGCTGCTTATAGACTTTTGCTGCTTATAATTTCAGGTAGACCAACTGTACATTTTTTTGCAGGTCACCAGAAGCACCATGACTTAAAATCTCCCATCTCTTTGGACATTTTACTGAGCTCAGGGTGTACATACGCTTCTAGCTGAATTTTTAGCAAAAGACATGCATTGCAGTGAAAGCATTCATTCTTGAGAAGAAATGTTTTATCCTTCACCAGTTTTAAGCAGAGATGCCCAACCCAGGGCCACCTTTGATTTGGCCTGCCATGCCATATCACAAGAGTGGGCCAAAAATAAAGAGACATTTTTTTATATATAAATGTAGTAAAAGGTTTGGGCACATCTGATCTAAATCAGTGATTTTAATTATATCAAGTATGACCACTGAGTGGCGTTAGAGAGACTAGAGAGCGGTGTTTTGTGAAGGATTGGAAACCTCCTGTTTTCTCGCGATACGTGATTGACGACTGCTGCAGAATTCAAACTAGCCGCTCGAGTTCCCGAGTAGGGATGGGCGATACCCCTTTTTTTTTTTCGATACGATACCGATATTTTTCAAGGCAGTATCGTCGATTCGATACTTCTGCACTAAACTTTTAAATTATGAAATTTATTAAATTATTAAATTACTAAGAGTAAAATGGGTAATGAAAACCACTTAACTTTATGTTTAAAACGCATTTTAAACCATTTAATCCCAAATTTTTCCCAGACATGAAAATATCCAAATGATGTGTCATTATTAACCCTTTGAAATAATCAATAATTTTTTTATTTTTTTTGGAAAAGTGTGAAAATTTGTATTTTATGGTCAGTCACAATTGTAACCGGTGGGATCATGTGTATACTGAATTAACATATTTCTGCAGTCTTAAAAATTGTTATATATCTTAGCCCAGCTATTTTAAACTGTTTGATCACATTCTAGGGTTACTATTATGCATAAAAAAAACCTTATACAACATTGATAGGAATACTGAGATCAAATACAAAAAAATACAACCACCAACATATTTCAAAATTGTAACTTTTTTGTAACATATATCATCACATTTTTATATTAGTGCTACCAGTATTACAACATTAATATTCTAACTTATTTGTAACATTTGAACTTTTGATTTAGTGCAATATTTTGTACTGCCATGCCATTAGGGACTGCCAGTGAATGGCTGTTGCATGCATAAAATGCAACCTTTTTATTCTGACAGTGTATGATTTCTATTAACATTACAGAATAGAACATGATCAATATTATCTTTCAACGTTCAATTTAAATAATTGTAATTGCACAAACTATGTAGGCTACAATTTCAATTTGTTTATTGTGAAATAACTCAAACATTTATGTTTTTTTTTCTGTCCTCTGATAAGCATTGTTCAGGGCTGCCATTCCCAAAAGCTTTAATGCTTTATTATGATACTTTTGGGAAACGCAGCCCTGTTTGAATGCACTGTCAGCAGTAAGTGAATGCTCTCTGTGATTGATTGGTTCTGTCTTGCAACATTTGCGTGTGTTCAGATGAGCAGGAAAATAGTTCTATCCTACACAATTACTACTCGCTAACAAAGGTTATTCGTCCAATTCGATGCATATTGTACGCATTCTTCTTCTTATTATTATTTTTTGTAAGATTTCATAGAAATAAGGAATGTCAGTGTGCCCTTGGTGCTGAAGTGTGACCTTGTCTTGCAGGCAACTTTGGAGCAGGAGCTTCAGGAGGCATGATACAAAGAAGAGCAATTACATTTGTCAACACCACCCTGCAAAGACAACTACAGAGACTCACAGAAGAGAAGGAAGAGAGAGAGAAAGAGGCAGTGTCCTGCCACAATGCTTTGGAGGCATGTCAATAAGCATTTTCAAGTAAACATTTTAGAAAAAAAACATGTATTTACACTACCTTTCAAAAATGTGATGACGGTAAGATATTTTAATAGAAGTCTCTTATGGCTCACCAAGGCTGTGTTTATTTGATCAAAAATACAGTAATATTGTGAAATATTACAATTTAAAATAACTTTTTGTATTTTAATATATTTCCAAATGTAGTTTATTCCTGTGATGGCAAAGCTACGTTTTCCAGCAGCCATTATTTCAGTCATTCGTGTCACATGATGCTTCAGAAATCATTTTTATATGCTAATTTGGTGCTGAAGAAATATTTTTTACTGTTATCACAGTTGGTGGCAATTGTGCTGCTTGATATTTTTTTGATGATACATGTTTTTTTTTAGGATTGTTTGATAAATAGAAAGTTGAAAAAACATGGAATTCTGATGCACACTTTCTTTGCTGATTCAGTGAAAAACCTAATCAAGTCAAATATATATTTTTTAAAGATCTAAAAAAAAAAAAAAAATTACATTATTTGTTCTACTCAATGTAGAAAGCTCGTGAAGCCAACCAAGACCTTCAAATCCAGCTGGAACAGGTGTTGCAGCAGGCACAAGATCCAAACAGCAAAGGCAATTCCTTGTTTTCTGAGGTACATCATTAAGCATTACTTCTACTACTTTACTTATGATATTTATGTCTGCTAAGAGATTTCATTATAACTCGAGCTTAATTTTGAGAGAATCTGAATAACATTTTATAATTCCTATGCAATACCCTTTTTTGGTTAAAAAAGGCAGTAAACCTAGTAAAATTACTATAAACTGTTAATATTAGGGCTGCCCTCGACTAAGGATTTTTCTGGTCGACTAGTAGTCGTTCATCTTATTTGACTAATCGCACGTTTATTAAACCATTTAAATCATTATAATGATCCTTTAATTGCCTACAAAGCCTAATAAGCGCTCAAGCGCACGCATAAAGCTTGCTACAGCGCACCGCAGAAGCTATGATTATGAATGTGTCAGGGAAAAACAGTAAGGAGGCTGCATTAACATTTTAATAATTCACTGATAAACAAGTGCTTTCTCGTCATCTCCACT